AATGATTAAGGCCCCCGTATGATAATATTCTGAACAACCTCTGAGGAGAAGTTGGCAAAGAGACAGGAGGGAGGACGCAGTCACCGCGGGTGATTAGGGCTTTAGGGATCAGCAGGGCTATAGGGGGCTTCCGGGTCGTAGGGTTTCGACACTTGTGGCATGATGTTGTAGGGTTTCGACACTTTTTGCATGATTGTGCTGAAGAGTCTGAGGCCGCTTACCACTTTCTGCTGTGGGGCTTCCTCATTGACTGCAAAATGCTGCAGCGAGACAGGGACATTGGGAACCTCCTTCAAGGAATGAATGTATCTTAATCACTATATAGAGCCCATGTCTAATACAAGGCATCTTCCTTAATCGAGGGCTATTTGCTCTCTGCTTTGTTATCAGCCTCTGCAGTAACAGTCTGGAGCTGCTGAGACATGAAAGATCTGCAGAATGGAGCCTCTCGCATGTAACATACTATGGTGGTCGGGTGAATTGCTAATAGGAATATCCTTCATAGTCCGGAATATACTTACGGGTAGGATTTACCGCAAAAAACTTGTTCTACCTAAATCCTTACAGTTGCCTTCTTAACTTCCAACACTCCTTAAAGGAACATGTAACGGTCTTATTCTAGTGATGAAGGCCCCTGCATGAAGCATGAACCCTCGAACCCCAAGGCCTTTCCTTCGAATGTCGATGCTAAGAGGAGAGACCCTCCACGAAAGGGAGATCCTGAAACTCCAGACGAAGATGGATCTGGAAGACAGGAGTGTCTTCCGACTCAATCACAGGGACCCTCAGGGGGGTTGGGGGGCCTTAACGCCCATAATAAGGACCTAATAAGGCCTATTGAAGGAAGTATAGTCCCCTACCCCCCTCCCCCCTACCCCCCTGCTTGAAGGCTCATGGGACTTAGTAAATCAGGTTATAAGTAGGTTACAATTAGGATAACCCCACTTTGGTTATATCCTACTTACTAAGTCCCATGATCCTCTAAGTAAGGGTCCCTCTGAAACAAGGGCGCAGTCGATCTGAGGGGTTGCTTCTGCAGTGTTTTGATGTTTTCCGGAGTTCGTTAAGAATATCTAGTAAGAAGCCTTGTACACTTCAAGGACTGTTCCTTGCTAATACAGATCAAACCAAGTCGCTGAGTAGGGTGTATTCCAGGCATCAGGGGTCTAAAGTTTAGGGGTTTAGGGCTTAGGGGTTTAGGGTCTAGGGCCTATCTCCTGAGTTGCGAGGCTAGGGATCAGTTTCTCCGTCCAGGAGATGACCGAAAGATTGAGCTTTGTTCAGGGTGTAGGGTTTCGGGATCGAGACCAACATGCTTCGCCTAAGAAATTTAGGGCTCTATAGTCTATAGGAGTATCATCGAATGTTTTCAGGAGAGCTTTCTAGCATGGAAACAGGAGAAATAGCACTCCGAATGATTCACACGCCCCTGTCTGCAGCTGATTGGGCAGTTGGGCTTTGTCGGAGCCTTGTGGTTCAGCACTCAACTCTCCTCGCCCGTCCCAGCAGTCCCGAAGCCGCACCTCAACGCCTAAGGTGATGCACAAAGTGCGATTGGGATATGGTCGCTTGGACCTCAAGGTTTGCGCATGAGCGCTGACCGAGCCTGGGCTGCTGCGGATTCAGGCTCAGGCCTAAACTCTACCTTAACCCCACGTAACCCACCCTTTTAAGGACTTATATAAAGAAGTCATATTAGGGAACCCTAAAAAGGTAGGTTCCTTAGGGTCCAGGTAAACCCTGAACCTTAAACTGTCCCTGAACCCTAAACCCGGAAGCCCGTAAGCAAGTTGAACACTGGATTGAAAGGAATCGGAATGTCAGATGCCTTCGGGGATGCGAAGAAATCGAGACTTTATCAGACCTGGAATCGGGTTCAGGGTTTAGGGTTTAGGCGGCTTTAGGGTTAAGGGATAGGGGCTTCAGGGGTTTAGGGTTTAGGGTTCAGGTAAGCAGAGGGGGACCAAGGGAAGGGGCCAGGCTTTGAGGGCCTCGAGCTGGGTGGCTTCGAGCCTTTTGCCATGATCTTTCTCCACCCGGACCCTAAAGAGCCCACCTTCTGAGGGTGCCCTGATATGATTTCTTTGTATTCGGTGGTTGTCAAAATTCGGGTCCCTTTTTGGGTCCTTATCATAATACGACACCTAATATTTAGGGTACCCAAAAAGGGACCTGAATTTTGACAGCCACCCATATAAGTCCTTAAAAAGGTAGGGTTACTTGGGGTTTAGGCAGGTTCCGAGTCTGGGCGCATGGTTGGGTTCGAGGATCTGGTGCTGGGTCTTCGGCTCGCAGCTTTCGAAAGTGAGAAGATTTGTAGGGGTTTAGGGGTTTCGGGTTTAGGGTTTGGGGTTTTACCCCGCTTTCTGTTTCCTAGGTGCAGGGTTGAAGACTTTGGGTAGTAGGTATCTGAGAGTAACAGGCCTGCTGGTCCGCAGCAGCTCCACCATCATGGTCGTGTTAGGGGTCGGAGGCTGAAGACTGCCGTGTACAGTGTACAGTCAGCCCCGGCATTTCGTTTCGACTCAGTGAGGTGACGAACTGCACGGAGCCTCGAGCATAAGCTGACAGGACCCCTACCGAAGATACCAGAATCCTAGGCCTCGTGCCATGCAAAAAGGGCCAGCAGCAGCAGAAGCCGAGTAACCTTCGCCACCTCTTCGCAGAAGTGCACAAAGACCTGTGCCGATAGTGCCTAGGAGAGACAGCAACAACTTTCACCTGCGTCAGAAAATCGTGCAGGGAGCTTCCTCGTCCAAGCCTCCTGCAGTCCCTTGACACAAAAGCCGAAGAAAATCCCGAGACGTGACTACAGAGCGTCCGGCCCCGTCTCCGAAATGCGACCAAACCCCTTGGAGCCATGTGCTGCTTCCGGTGGCAATACCGCTTCATTGTGAAGTGGCGGGGGAGGATGGACTGTTGAGACGTTAGGAGCATCAGGTCCCTTTTGCTCCCACAGCCAAGGCTAATGTGCAGGGGCCTTCATAATTGGAATAGGGCTTTGGGGTACATCATAGTCTAATAGTATAAATAGAATCAGGAACCCACAAAAACAATATAGGTAATTATTAAGGCCCCTGTATTAGGGGTATTCGTAAGAGGAAGTCTTGGAGCTTTCGTTCAGGCTGCAAAGGTTGACATGTTGGCTTCGGACTTGACCCTGGAGACTCCAATATCCCCTAATTCAGGAGTATACCTTAAATTAGAGTAGGATCCCTAGTAGGATTTAAGGAATATTCCTAAATTGAGCGATATTGGAGTCTCTGGGAACTCCAGCTCCTGATAGCCAGGGCTCGGTGGCGCCCTGTCGCTTGGCTGCCACCATATCCGAAACAAGCTGGTGTATTGAAACTGCTGATGGGCAAAATCCTGCATTACCCATGTTCAGGAATAGACTATAGTTCCTACAGTTTAGGGTCCTTAAGGTCATGCAGGATTTTGCCCATCAACAGAAGGTCGGGGATTCGCCTGCAATCTCTATTGCAGGACCCTGTACTAGAGAAGCCTGACTACTTGGCATTGCTACTGTTGATGATATAAATCTGCATTACCTTAAGGACCCTACACTATGGGAATTATGGTATATTCCTTACTATGGGTAATTCTGGATTTATATCATCAACCGTAATCCTTCCCGTTCCCGAGTATAACCTTACTGAAGCATATCCGCAAAACCCTGTTCTAACTTTGGGGGCTCCAATTGGCATTGTTCTTTGCCGCAGCAGTGTGCACAAGCGCCTGGCTCGTTGAAGCATTCTTCTGGAATGTCCCAAGAGATTGGAACCCTGAACAACAAAGCCTGCTCTGCTTCTTATTTCGGCAGACTTTAAGGTTTAGGGTTTCTTACTCCTGGTCCTACTGCATAGCATGGGCTTGATCTTCTGAAGGAACTGCGTTGAAGAGCGGGGACCTGTAAGTCAGCAACACGAGCTGCACCTGTATATGCAACCGCGCACCCACCACAAACTTGTTGGATTCGATTGCGACTCAGGATTTTTGCTAGAGCTATCAACCTTCGAGCTGCAAAATCAAAGTACGAAGGCATGCCGAACTCGCTCATTTGCAGCCCTCTGAACGAAATCACGGAGGAGACTTGCAGGGCTCGTGATCACTTTGTGATCCAAGTTTCAAGACCATTGAGAGGCACAGCTTTGCAGCAAGGGTATGTAGGTGGTAAAAAGGACGTTTAGCAAGGATTGCAAACGAAAGCAAGTCGGATACGGAAAGACTTGTGTTCAGAGTTGCATCTATGCACATAGAAACGAGAACCGAAGTCCTTGCTCAGAAGCTTTTGTGCTTTGAGATCACAGGTCTGCCATGGACTCCCATGCTGATGGATGGTGGCGAGGAGGGTAAGACGGATGATGGAGTGAGTGAGTGACCGATTGACCGACTGATTGATTGGTTGATTCGTTCCTTCAGCTCATTGATTTGGATGAATTGAACTGCTTGCTTGCGTGCTTGATCTATTGGTTGATTTATTGATTGATTGATTGATTGACTGCTTGATTGCTTCATTGCTTGCTTGCTTGATTTATTGGTTGATTGACTGATTGATTGACTGACTGATTGATGGATTCATTCATTCATTGTGTGATCGGTTGATGACTTGAGTGTTTGATTGAGTGATTGGTTGAGTGATTGATTGGTTGACTGGTGGATTGGTTGAAGACGATGACCATGCCGATGACGTCTACCTGCAGGTTGTGGGTCTGTTTGTGATCACTCGCAAGACCACGCATGCCAACTGTTGGCAAATTGAGCGTGATGATGGTGTTGCAGGGCACCCAGCTGGCAAGGCCGTAAAGAGCAAGCTTGAGTTGACTTGAAGGTGTCCACGAAGGCGGTACATTGAAGTTAAGCTGAATCAAGCTTTAAGTTCTGCGACAACATAATCGGCAAGTCGACAACTGCTTTGTAACATTTGGCATAAGAGGCTTCCACTGCGAGCAAGCCCGTAGACTCCCATCAATCAAGCCACTGCTGGCGATGGATTGCTCATGTCCTCGTCCGCTCGCGACGATGAGGTGGAGGCGGGTCTCCTTTGCGTGTCCAAACAGGTTCGTCAGGGACCGAGAAAAGTATCGACCCGTGGCCGCAGAGTGGTGAAACTTGCTCGTCTAAGCATGCAAGGAGTTTAAAATAGGATTGTGCTGGCTCAAAGGCATTCCCCGAAGTCCTGAGATGGAAACATCATAAAAATTGTATCAGCCCTTATATAACACCCAGATTTTGCAGGACGACAGGAGGGTTTCGAATTTGTGGTGGTAGGGTCGTGTGTCTCATCTCCGGCATGTTTCTGTCACAGTGCCAAGACTCAGGAAAGCTCCTCTGTGGATGTAGCATGCGACATCCCGCTCTGTTAGCATACCACAACAGACGCAAGCCAGATCCTCACCGTGCTGCCGCGCGGGCCACCACAGACACGGCTGCGGAGGCCCTACCGAAAATCCGTGGTGGCTTGGGGAGGGGCGGGGTGGGTTACAGGCTGCGGGGCTCTGCCATGATGATGATGATGATGGTGGTGGCCATGACCATTATATTGTTGCCATTAAGATTAGCATCATCATCATCATTATTCGTTTCATGTTTCTTATTCCTCTATGTATGAATTTTGATGATGAAGATCATCTTCTTCCTCGTCCGCAACAACATCATGGCTCTTGTGCTTTGTGCTGCTTTCGGCGAACTCTAAACCCTAAACCCCTAAAGCCCAAAGCCCAGAACCCTAAAGGAATCCCCTAAACCCCCTAAACCCTCCAACTCTAGACCCCAAGCCCTAAACACCTAAACCCCTGAACCCAAAACCTCTAAACTCTAACCCCCAGCAGCCCTAGAGATCCCTTGAAGGAACCCTTAAAGGAACCTAAACCGATCGGAGGCTTGTCAGGCCGACCCAGAGCTGCCTGCCGGCGAAGAGACGCCATGCCAGGCCCCGGGTATTAAGGCAGGGGCCTTATTAATTAAGGTGATATGGGGGCCTTTATAGTTAAAATAGGGCTCCTTTAAAGGGATCCTTAGGATCTATAGTAGGGTTGTATGGTATAGGGGCCTTATTAATTACAATAGGGTTTTGGGGTTCCCTTCTTTGAAAGGGTTACTAAAAAGGGCTACTCTAAGGGTACTATGATGTGGGGGCCTTAATGTTTAAAATGGGGCTTCTTTCAAGGGATCCTTACAGGGGTCTCTAAGGGATCTATAGTAGGGTTCTAGGTATAGCTGCCTTATTAATTAGAATAGGGTTTGGGGGTATGTTGTACTATGATAACAAAAACCCGCAAGATAGTACAGGTAAATATCTAGGCCCCTTTGGTGTTATGGGAGATTCTATTTGTTTCTCCTCCCTGTATGTATACACGGAAAAGTATACAGATTTCTGAACCAAAAGGTATACAGAAGAGGGTTATATATATACATATATATACAGAGATATGAAAAGGCAGTGCTGGCATAGGGGCTTCGGTTGGCATTGGCTTTTCCATAGGGCCTAGGATGTTTCTGGCTGACAGATCAAAATTGTAGTGAGGCTGCGAGTGAATCGGGCAATTTTTGCCCTAAACCCCAGAACCCCTAAAGCCTAAAACCGCGTAATACTGCGTTCATCTTGGACTCAAGGTTCCGAGTTCGCAGCCTCGTCGGATGGCCTCGTTTCTGCTTGCGCATGTAGATGGTCGAAAGAGCCTGAAGCGCAACGTAATATAGGGGCCTCAATAATTACCTGTACCATTTCGGGGGTTCCCTATTATGAGTAAAGTATAACGGGCCCCCAAACCCTATTCTAATTATCAAGGCCCCTATATTTTCGAATATGAGAGCCTGAGTCAGCAGACTGGGCCCTGAGGGTATAGTACCTTAACCTACCAAAACCTACTTTTTTGTAGTTTAAGGTATAGTATAACTAAACACAGACTGCAAGTGCCAATAATAATATATTCAATTTTCGAGAACCCTAAATTACCACTGGGCTTTCTCGAGGTTGCCATTGTGGCTTGAGACTAGACCCGTTGAGAACACTTGCTTAAAGGCTCTGGGACTTAGTAAGTAAGGTTCTAGCTAGCATAGCCCCACTTCTGGGACTTATGACCCCAGTCATAACCTACTTGCTAAGTGCCATGTTCCTCTAAGTACCCTAAACTCCCCGTCGTGGAACCCTTATAGACCCCTTAAAGGAGCCCTTTACGGAACCCTTGTTACTACGTCCCATGATCCTCTACTTGGAGGGTCGGGGGACTTAGTAACTGGTTATTTTAGGGGCTTATAAGTACCAAAACCCCAATTAGGGTCCCTTTTCGGGTACTTACAAGTCTACTTACTACCTACTTACTAAGTCCCCCGACCCGCCAAGTAAGTGTCAACCTGGCAGGACGGAGGATGTGCTGGGCGACAGCAGCGACGAGGAACTGGTGGAGGCTGACTCCCTGAGACCCCAATCTCCCTTAATTGAGGAATATACCTAAGGGTTCCTTTAAGGGATCTATAAGTCACGGAGCTTGCAGCACTGTTGAAATTTGGAACTTAGCCAACTAGGCACTGCTTCTTGTAGGTTAGGACCGACCAAAATGCAAAATTTGGTAGGTTGAGGTCCATCCAAGTCGGCAAGTTTATATGCCATTTTACGGTGGCAAAGAAGACTCCTGCAAGACGTGGGGATGTTGAGCAGGAGAGACATACGAATTCACTGCCTGAAATATCTGCTCTTATCTAACGCAAGACCTCCCCCGCCCGCGTGGCCCTAAACCCTAAACCCTAAACGGATGCCCCCGACCTCAAGAAGCTGAGCCAGGTCATCTCGCTGCCGACAAAACGACGCCACCAGGCCCTACGGTTGATGATATAAATCCTGCATGACCCTAAGGACTCTAAACTATGGGAACTATAGTATATTCCTTATAAAGGGTAATGCAGGGTTTTGTCCATCAGCAGTAGGAAGGGTTTTGGGATTTAGGGGTGAGCTCTGAACCCACAGCCCCCCAATACGCTTGAATGAAGTACACCGTGAAGTGTAGGGGGCATCTTCAACATTGTTTAAGATACTTCCCTGCTGACTGGAGGAGAGACTTTGGGAAGCTGTTTTGCTCTGAAGGGTCCCCTTACAAGGCCCCGGGCTCCAGCAGCCGTCAGCGCCCACGAGCTGCGGGGAGCCAAGAGCGCTTCCGAAATCTGCTTTTCGTGCATGTTGTTGGTTGACCCAAGGTAAGTACTATTTATACACTTTTCTGGTTGCAAATGTGAGTGTGCGTGGGTTTGTTGCCCGATTATTTCTGTCCTAGGAGAGTTGGGGGTTCAGGGTCATCCACGACACCGATTTGGGTGGTTGTCAAAAGGATGGTCCCTCTTTGGGTCCCTGATATAGTACGGCAATTATTATCTAGGGTACCCCAAAAAGCGTCCCTAATTTTGACAAGCACCCAATTTGTTTGTACGGCGCACGAGCGAATTCCAACAGCTCCAGCCCGAATTTCATCCTCGCTGCCTGAACCCTAAGCCCATCCGACATGATGCCACCTGACGCACCAGTGCCTTTTCAGTCCCTACACATGTAGCCCACGATGCAAAAGACGAAGCGCTTACTTCTTCGGTACCCGTGTACTCCATAGCCCCTTCAGCGACAAGGCAACACTCCTTAAGTCTGGGATAGCTTAGTAGCTGAGTTTATGAACTTTAAACTTTTTGGGATAATGAAACCCTCTTAAAACTGAAAGTTTAAACTTTTTTTGGCTTATGAACTCGGCACCTAAGATAGCGATCCTTGACTCCAGGATCCTTCATGGAAGGATCCTGGGGTCCTGCACCCATACCAACTGCTGGCTACAACACGGAAATGCATGTAGAAAACCTAATTCCTACTATTTGCTTAAGAACCCCCAAAAAAATAAAGAATGTATTCCTTATAGGGATAATATAGGGATTATTATTTTTATTTTTTGGGGGGTTCTTAAGCAAATAGTAGTAATTCCTACTCCGGATCACTGTGCGCGAGGTTGCTAAAGCGCCGTCCAAGCCCAGTCGTATGCGCAACGCTCCTGCAGCTCGAAGCGGTTATTTACAAGCTTGTTTGGGGCTTAGGGTTTAGGATCGGGGTTCAGCGTTTAAGGTTTCCGTTTTGGGCTTGGGTCTGCCGTAAGGTTTCCTTGCAGTTGCCTCTTGCCATTACTCAGACTACCCTGCCAAAAAGCAAGCCCCAGACACCTCGACCACCATAGACCTCAAACCCTAATCCTAAACCCTAAACCCTGATCCTAACCCTCAAACCCGAATCCTAAACCTGAAACCCTCATCCTAAACCCGAAACCCGAATCCTAAACCCTAAACCCCAATCCTATTCCCTAAACCCGAATCCTAAACCTCTAAGCCCCAAGCCGCGTCTCTTTGGGCTTCCCAGTGCCAGGTCAGAGGGCCGGGGAGGCGACTTCACCAGGCCGAGGGGGCGAAGACTACGGTTGATGATAAGAATCCTGCATTACTCATAATAAGGAATATGCCATTATTCCCATAGTTTAGGGCCCTTAAGGTAATGCAGGATTTATATCATCAACCGTAGGGCTTAGGGCTCCTCTACAGGGGCTTAGGGTTTCTTTAGGGGGGCTTAGGGTTCTTTTAAAGGAGGGCTTAGGGCTCCTTTAAAGGAGGGCTTAGGGTTCCTTTAGAGGAACTATTATAGCTATGGTGTTTAGGGTTCAAGGCGGTTTAGGGGTTGAAAGGGTTTATAGGGTTTAAGGGTCGAGGGTTTGGGGGCATACTCAGGGTTTAGGGTTTATAGGGTTTACAGGGTTTAGAGGTTTAGGGTTTGGGGCAAGGTTTTCTGAGATGTTGTGGGGGATTTGAAGGAAATCAATATCCCTGAATACAGGATCCTTCAATTTTCATCTCCGCTAAAATCCAGGTCCACTCAGTAGCACCTCTGTCTGACTTCCGAGGTTGGGTAGGACCCAGAGAGCCCAATACCCCTTAATTAAGGAATATTCCTTAAATCACATAATTTAAGGAATATTCCTTAATTAAGGGGTATTGGGCTCTCTGGGGATGGGTTTGGCAGGTAGACAAGACGTAGCTTGGAGGCACGTAAAGTTTGTTTCAGAGAGTCTTGGGATACGAGAGTCTGCCACAACCTTTCTTGTATTCGAACACAACGTCAGGCATGCTTCCTCAAACAGGAACACGGTGCAGTTTGATTTTAAGGCTCTTGCTACCTAGACAAACGGCCCTCAGCCCGTTATGGCGGGTGTTCTGAGTCGCTAGGGGCCCAAACCTAAGTAGAAAGAGGCTTATACGAGCGGTACCCCTACTGTACTGTTAAGAATCCCCCACCAGATGGAGGGCTTGTGCCTTTGTTGGGACGTTGGTCCATCTTTAGCGTTGTCGAGCTTTTGAGGGCTCCTGGTGTGGGGTGGCGAGGCTCTTGCGGTTTTGGAACTAGAGCAAAGAGCTCTGTGTTCTTACGACCACACGTAGTAAAAGCAGCTGCAGTCGCAACAAAAGCAGCACCGGCAACAACGCTAATAGCCTTAATCATTACCAATACTATTATTTTGGGGGTTCCTCATTATAACTATAGTATAATGGGCCCAAAACCCTATTCTAATTATTAAGGCCACTATACTAACAATGGTGAGCCCTTCGAAAGCATCCTTTTTGAAGGCGGCTCCTTCCGAATCGCGGCGGGGGCTTCCAAAGCCGGTCCCCGGAGCTGCAATGAATAATGTACGCGGTTTTGATACTCGGGAGAGGGCTTACGGGTGCATTTATCGTATAACTACGTGGCGATTACAGGAGGATGTTACGATTTCTGCTGATTCACGCTTGCAAAATTCTGCGTTTTTGCGACCATGGCAAACTCAGCGCTCCTGAACCTTACCTTTGGTTAGTAGGGAATGGAGGAATGGGGTACAATTATAACTACAAATTACTACCACTCTTCCATTCCCTACTAACCAAATGTAAGGAACACAACCCGAACCCTCCACACCGTCTCATGAATAGCGCTTCGTGGGGAGCTGAGACCTGTCACGACGGAACCCAGAGAGCCCAATACCCCTTAATTAAGGAATATAGCTTAAATTATAGTAGGATCCCTAATACGGTTTAAGGCATATTCCTTAATTAAGGGATATTGGCAATTGGGCTCTCTGCGAAGCGTAAGTCGACATCCCTGCCAGTTGTGTGTCACAGGCGACCGAAGAAGTCGAATACTGTAGTTTAAACTACCCAGATAGCCCTAAACCAAAACCTGAGATGCCAACGCGTGATCTTTGCACCTTTCAGCTTCTGTATGAGGTGAAACCGTCAAGGCCCCCGTCGTTAAACCGGACTTCCTAAACACTTAAGGTTCTAAACACTGGAGAAACCCGTCCTTTAAAGTAAAAGCCAGAAAGTTGGAATATGATTCTCCTAAGCCCTTTATGGTAAAATATAAGGTATCTTACCCTGAAACCATATTCCAACTCTCTGGAGTTCCCTTTAAAGCCTAAACCCCGAAGACCCCGAACCTGCCATTTCCCCGAAGCCTCACAGCCATGTAATGTAGGAACCCTTACTAATTGCCTGCACTATTTTGGGGGTTCCGTATTGTAATTCTGGTATAATGGGCCCCAAAGCCCTATTCTAGTTATTAAGGCCCCTATAGTATAGATCCCTGCTACAGATCCCTTATAGACCCCCTTTAAGGAGCCCTTTAAAGGAGCCCTATTCTAATGATTAAGGCCCCTATAGTATTTCGAAGCCCCGAAAACGAAGTACTTCCGAAAGCTGCCAAGAAGCTGCGACCGAAGCCCAGAGTTCGAACGCCAGCGGTGGCTGCTTGTCAGAGATTGGTCTGGGGTTCCTTTGAAGGGTACTACGGCTGATGATATAAATCCTGCATGACCCATAATAAGGAACATACCATAATTCTCATAGTCTAGGGTCCCTAAGGTAATGCAGGATTTATATCATCAACCGTATGGGTTCTATAGTAGGGTTCGCTTGAATGATTTAGGGTTTAGGGTCTACATACATAAAGGCGCAGGGGACTGAGCAACGAAGGCTTATATATAAGGTTGTAATTAGGATAACCCTTCTTAGGGCCCTTATAGCCCCAATTACACAGGCGACCTCAAGCAGGGTTGAGGGTTGAGCTCAGGGCTGCGGCTCTTTGCGTGTGAAAGGAGTTCAATGAAGGTGTTCGGAGATAAAGTCTGGCATCTAGTATATACTACGTATATGTACAATTCAAGTACTGTATATACTCTAAATATGTATCTATATATATATATATATACTATAGGGCTGCACCCTCTTTCAAAACAGGCCCTGGCTTAGAGCGGAACCACTGAATTGGATCCTTCGGTGCGAGGGTTTGCGGAAGGGTGTTTTGGTACTGCCACTGCGTGTAGGATCAGACTTTGAAGATCATGGGCTCAAAAGCGCAAGGCTCACCTAAACCCTAAACCCCTTTTGGATCCCTTTCAGGAGCCCTTCTAGATCCCTTTAAAGGAACCCCCAAGAAAACCCGTTGATCTTTGAACCTTCGGCCCCGGAAGCCTCTGAGCACCCGTGCCAAAGCCGACCCAGCCCTTTCCAGAGATGACTTCGGCCAGGTGGGATTCAGATCGGGGCCTATAGAGTTCCTTTAGGAAACCCTAGGATTCCTTTAAAGGGCTCCTTTAAGGGATCCTATCAAGGGTTCTATAAGGGGGAGTTTGGGGTACTTAGAGGATCATGGGACTTAGTAAGTGGGTTATAACTGGGGTTATAAGTCCCCTAAGTGGGGGTTATCCTACTTATAACCTACTTATAACCTTACTAACTAAGTCCCATGAGCCTTCAAGTAATGTGAGAACCTGATTAAGAAACCCCGTCCCTATAATCCCGGACCCAGGGTTTCTTTATCAGGTTCCTACATTAGCTCTCTAAATTAGGAGCCCTCTTTACTGTAGGTCCCCAAAATAGTACGGCACCTTTGCAAAAAGGAGCCTGAAAGGGACCCTAAAATAGAGAGCTACCCTATTCGTACGCCAATAGAAACCCTGAAGGAAACCCTTATAGATCCCTTTAAGGAACCCTAAAAGGGACCTTAATCTAGTGAACCCAGGTCGAGCTGGACGACGAAGACCAGGTCATCGAAACGTGCATTCCGTACGAGGAGGCTGGGTGCGCCCTGGGACTTTCGGCGCCCTGGGACTGCTGAAGCTGCCCCATTTAGGGTTTAGGGTTTAAGGTTCATGTTTTCGTGGCCGCGGAGAGGTTTTAGTTCAAGGAATAGCGTTTAGTCCGGGATGAACAGCAAAGTTAGCCTCGCAAGCAGTAAGGGTGAGTTACATTGCGGTATCCTTTCTGCAAGCTGCACGACGGCCATACACGCAAGACTACCGCATCAGCTCCCGCTACACCTGCCTTGGAGTCCCCTCTTCAATAACATCTTTGATCTCAGTATACACAGTACTTTCTCAAGAACGATCAAACTTGTGGAAGTGGAACAGCCCAGTCCTGTGAATCATGAGCACTACTGCACTCCGGACAAATAATCTCCAACTATCACAGGCATTCTTCGGCTACGTGCCGAAATCGCAGCCCAGTCCCTCGGCTGTTCGTTGTTTCTGACCGCTGCGCAGTCCACGAAGCCCAGAAACAGCCACCTGGACCTCGGCCAAAACTGTTGAAATTGTGCTGTTGGCTCGCTCCACTCTCCATGCCTCAACCGCACAGGAGATCACTAATTATGGGGGCCTGATTACCTACCTCTACTATTTTAAGGGTTCCTTGTTATTTTTATAGTATAATGGGCACCAAAACCCTGTTCTAATTATTAAGGCCCCTATAGTATATCCTTAGAATGACCCTTGTAGTAACCCTTAAAGACCCCTTTTAAAGGAACCCTATTCTAACTATTACGTAAGGAAATTATATTATTATTTCCTAGCGAAGCTCGGGCCAGACCCAGGTTCCCTGGACGCAGAGTGGCAGGGGCCCGCGACGGAGGAGGCTGCGCCATCACTTCATGGAGCTTTGTTCGGCCTTGGTTGAGGGATTCTGGGTTGTGGATTGTGGCCGAAGGGCAGAAGCACTCGAAGTCTTGACTAGATCGAGGCTCAAGGCGAGCCCATTCAGTGTTGCTTCGTGGTTCTGTCTCGCTTCACTCGTGTATTGTCGCCTTCCCAGCGTAGAATCTTGCAACACAGGGAGACGCGGTACTCTGTCGCAGACCCACCATGGGCATACCAAGGAAGACTGGGATGTTTGGTATGTTCGAGGTAACCGATGTTGTCCAAGATAAGAAGACAGGAAGCGCTGAAGGCGCTGAGTAAAAAACATGGCGAAGCTTGCAAGATCGCTCATGCACAAGCACATGGTAGTCAGTTTTCGGACCTGGCGGGCTGGGCTGCCTTTGTTCCTGGCGGGGCTCTCCGACGACGTGTGCCCGAAGAAGAAGAGAGAAAGGTAAACCCAAAGCTGAACTGATACAGAGGTCTTACCAATTGGAATAGGGTTGGGGGGTATATCATACCATAGTTATGATAAGGAACCCCCATAACCATATTCTAATTATTAAGGCCTCTACAGTAGATCCGCAGGGGCCATACTGAGAGTGTTCCCTAACAGGTTGGGGCCACGCTTGCTCACAGGGCTATAGATTTACGGCTGACTTCGTGGAAACCCGGAAGATGTTTCCACACATGCTCCAAGAACTTACTTCTAGTACCACCCCAGCCAGTCTTAACCCTTTGAACTTGCAATCCTGAACCCTACATGGGTATTTGTCAAAATTATGGTCCCTTTTTGGGTCCCATATATCACGCCACCTTATATTTAGGATACCCAAAAAGGGACCCTAGTTTTGACAACCACCCACATACCTACCCGATCCAGGCGATTCTGACCTTCTCTCACTCAGGCCATAGTCCTGATCCTAAAATGCACAAACCGTACTTAAAGGGTCATGGGACTTAGTAACTAGGGTTATAATTAAGGTAACTATACTTATAGCCCCAATTGAGGTACTTACAACCTTACTTACTAAGTCCCATGATCCTCCAAGTAAGCCGTAAGCCTTGAACCCAATGCTGCTGGAGGAAGCTGCAGCCCAGGCCGCCACAGCGAGTGAGCCGCCCGAGGACAGCAAGATCGGATTGAAAACAGGTCGGTGGTTTAGGGTTTAGGTGTTTCGGGGTTTTGGGGTTTAGGGGTTTAGGGTTTGGTTTGAATCTGGGGCCTCAGTAATTCGAGCAGGGTTTTAGGGTTTCTGGGTCATCGTCGCGAGGCGGTCGTGCTTGTGATCGCGATGTGGGGCTGATAATGAAAAAGAAGCAGAACATAAAAGCAAAGCAAAAGATGATGATCATCATCATCATGACGGTGATGCTGGTGATCATGATGGGCAGGGTGGTCATTGTTCTCAATCTCATCATGACTGCAATGATGGCGGCTTGATCATGAGCCTCGTCATGACGAGGAGCAGATGCTTAGCGATTCGGAGCGTAGCCCCCTACCGACCAGCTCCTGATGGCCACTTTCTCACGCAGACGCAAGGGTCCTGGAGAGTCAGCTTCGCATCTCAAGTGCTGGAGACAGATGGGGGTTCAGGCTTTCAAAACTTCAGCTCCCCACACCTCCGGGAGGATCCAAAAGGTAGATCCCTTAAGCCTTAATGGGGGGGGCTCCTATAAGGTACCCTTAGTAGTATAGGACCCCAAATTAGGGGATCTGCTTTCTAGATCCTCCCGGGGGTCTGAGTCTTACTCATGCACTCCAAGGCGTCCTCCCTTTCCTCCTAACCCCCTCCCTTCACTTCCAAGCGAGTACTGTGCGGACAACCCAGGCTATTACTTGGGCCTACAAGATCATGAATCTTCGCTCGTACAGTTGCCAGGGAGGTTGAACTTTGCCAAGGTTTAGGGTTTAGGGGCCTTTAGGGGTTTAGGGGCCTTTAGGGGTTTAGGGGCCTTTAGGGGTTTAGGGGGTTAGGGGGTTAGGATTCAGCTTTGTGGACCTGAGCTTAGAGACGCTGGCTGCTTGTGTTGCGAAGTTCGGTTAGGGTGAGTTTGGCGTTTTCTCTGAGCCCCTACACACGAAACCCTGGACCGAAAACTTACCTTTGGTTAGGGACTGGAAGAATGGTAGTAATAGTAGCTATAATTGTACCCCATTGGTAGTAATAGTAGCTATAATTGTACCCCATTCCTTCATTCCCTACTAACCAAAGGTAAGAAAATGCCAACGCTCGGAAGTGAAGACCCCCCCTGAATCCCCTGTTGCGCCCATCATAATTCCTACCCTTAGTAAACCAACCCCCAGCCATGCAGCCTTGCTGAGTGCAGGAGCCGGCGGCGGTGCTGACTCCGGCCGGTAACTCAGACAGGGCCCGTCCGAGATGCTGCCACAAAGACTTGAAATGTGAAGGAAGGCCGCTTCCCCACCGAGGTCGCTGCAGTGCCGGCAGCGCCACAGGAACCGCCGGCACCGTCGCCGCCACTGCAAGCAGAAGATCTCGCACCTCAAGACGAGGAGCAGGCTACCAGTTTTCTCGCGCTCGTGTTTCGTGCAACGGCCGATCTTCCTCCCGGAGTGCAGTCATGGATGCTTTTGGTGTTCCCACCGCATTTGTTGCGTGTAGGGGGAGGCCAGGATTGCAAAAATTGCGGGGTTCAATGGCCAAGAATTACCCTAAACCCTAGTTAGCTCACACAAGGCCTCGATTGCTTGCGCTATCACCGGCATTTCGCCCGCGGCCGTGGTTGAAGTTTACATAAGATGACAGGGGGTAAGTTCCCAGGCATCAACTGTCTGCCGTTGACTTCATAACCTTGGGGTCAAATCTAGGCACCTTCTGCCAGGTGCAGTACCCTACGCCGCAAACCCCCAACCGTAAACCCTATCCATGTCTGATCTCTGCGGCGATGCCTTGGGTGTGGTGCTGCGTGGAAGGTCGCTGCACGCAGTTCTTCTGCAGATACACCGGCAGCCCCTATCTGCCCCGAGCTGCCGAAGGCAGATGCAGACTATGTAATCAGCGTACAGGCAAAAAGGATACCTTAGGGTTCCTTTACAAGGATCCCTGAAGGGCTCTTTAAAGGGATCTATAGGCTTCTATACAGGGTCTAGGGGTTCTTTGACATGGTTTCTACAAGCTCGTTTTTTGAAGAGGGGTTTTATACGGTTGTTCTCCAGGCTTGTAAGGCCTGGCTGGGCCAATAGAGCTCAGAGTTAAAGATAAAATCAGGGCTGGCAATGCCCACGCACTACCATTTCGTAGAGTGACCTGTGCTGTTTCTTGGGGTTGCGTCGAATGCTTTTTCGATTAGGGTTATTAACATATCTCCCCAGGATCCTGCCCAGTACCAAGCATGTAATGAGTTCGTCAAACCGTTCTTCATTGCGTTGCGGGAACTTGATGTGTTGATGCCCGATGTGGGATGTCGAGATCAGCTACCAGCGGGGCCATTGCTTTGCTCGTGGACATGTTCGGATCCCTGCCTATGACAGGAAATGCTTGTAACTCGCGGCTCGAGTTCAACCAGCCCTGCTGTACATTTAAAACCAAGACCGGTTTGCGTGCGAATCAGCACCGGTGGTAGAAACTCGCAGTTTGTCTCCGTTTGAGTGGCTCTCGGGGTTGCAGTGGAGAGCTGCAGGTCAAGGCAGGAAGGGGCAGTGGTTTAGGGTTAACGGGTTAGGGTTGTTGGGTTTTAGATGTAGAGCGAGAGGTCTGTGATTTCGCGAACTTGGTCGTAACCAGGGAGCTTTCTGGCACAGGTCGAGCTGCCGGAAACACTGGAGCTGCCGAAAGCCGCAGAGCCAAGTGCTTTGGAGAGCTCTTATGATCATAAGGTCTATCTTAACCCCTAGTAACCTACCTTTTTAAGGACTTATATGAAGAACTCATATTAGGGAACCCTAAAAGCGGTAGATTCCTTAGGGTCCAAGTAGGGTTTAGGGTTTAAGGATAAGGTTCAGGGCTTCGGTTCTTAGAGTCGCTGCGCTCACGTGATCAGCAGTTGATGGTCCTTCCTGAGCAGTTTCTTTCTCCTCGCAGCTCATTTCCCTAAACTACTTAATTCGAATTTCCCCCCGACCTAAAGCTTTCTCGGCCCTGAACTCCCGACCTTGAGGCCCGAAGTGCAGACGTGAGTGGAGTCTTGGGGTTTTCGGGCTTCACTTCGTCGCAGACTTCAGTGGTTCAATGCATTAGCTCACAATCAGGGTCGTACGTGAGAATTCTGCTTCTTGGGATGGACGCAGGCCCTGTCAAGGGAAGGGACCAGCAAGTAAAGGCTGGCGCCTGAGTGTCAGTAGAGCCTAACTACCAAGTCAGCTTGCATAATTTAGCAACTTGAATGATTAGTAGTAAGGGCTCTTTATTGCACAAATTAGACGATCCAATGCCCTAAAAGCCTCCTCTAATAGCCACAACAATAGCTGGGCGTTGGAGTACCAGACTTTAAAACGTGTCTGGAACCTGTTACTTAAAGGGAACCAGTTATGAAACAAAAATCTAGACTTTTTGCGATTACTTCAAAGCCTGGATGCTATTGTGGGGGTCCCTCTTTCTTTTTTATTAAGGCCCCTACATTACAATAATCTGCTGGGGCGGGCCCTGCTCAAGCCCAAATAGGAGTTTCCGAAAAATTAGGGGTACCTTATGTTGGGGTCCAATAAGGATCCTACTATTCTGGTTTCTATATTAGGGTCCCCTATGCTCGGAAACTAACCCCGGGCCCCAAGCAAGGAATTCACAATATTGACCCCCATGAAATTATGGTATGACCCATAATCATGGCAGAACCTATAGGTAGAATATGCTTTTGGGTTTAGGGCTTGGGGTACAATGTTCCCCAAAATCTTTTTCTAAATATGAAAGCCCTTACAGTATAAACCCAGCTGGGTATGTTATGTTTTATTTTGAAATGGACCGTGTGGGAGGAGTATTACGCGGAGACCTCTCAGCCCTTATGATCCTTAAGAAGGAACTCTTATAGATCCCTATTAGGGGAGCCGTTGTTTACCATCGTGTTACGGGCTTCGGAAGCCTGGTTCGATTGGTGGAGTACGACAGCTCTTAACCTTGTGTGCTGCCCTAGACGGTTTAAAATGCTGAAAGACGAGGTAAGAGAAGCAGAACATGTGACATGTTTAACATACAGCATGCAAAGTACGGAATTTGGCAAGCAGGTCCGATAGCTCGACCACCAGAACCCTCACCGGAGCCGAAAGTCTTCACGCCTCTGCCGGACATCGGCCAGGACGTCCTGTGTGGCCACAAGCGGTTTTGCATGTTGAGGGTTTCAGCTTCGAGTTTAGGTTTCAGAGCCCTCTGATCCATGCCAGACTTAAAGGATTAAAGGTTCATCGGGTTTGGGATTTGCAGTTTGCGGGTGTTGGTTGTTTTTCGGATGAAGCAGTCAATCAGCGACTGAGTCAACCAATCGGCATAGACGCAAGCAGCTGTGAGAAAGGGAGTTACCCAGAGAGCCCAATACCCCTTGATTAATGAATATAGCTTAGATCTAATAAAGGAGTATTGAGCTCTCTGGGTAGAAACCCTAAACCCTACACACCGAAAAGCCAGCCCAAGGCTATCAAGCCCGAAGCATGCACCCTAAACATCAGAACCCTTAGTTAGGGTTCGGCAACATGGTTATGCCATAACATACTCAAGCATCCTCTTCTAGTTATCAAGGCCTCTTATACTGAAACCCTATAAACCCCTTATAGAAACCCTTCGAGGAACTCGACTATGTTTGTAGCTTTTGGTCGTTCGGGTACCTTTTCCGAAGTGCGCAGGAAGAGACTCGTCTTCCCGAGCCCCGCTATTCGGAGGCCCGGGCCACTTTCCGACGCTTTTCTGAGGCAAGCTGTAGGTCAGAGTGCAAAACTCGGCTCTGCACAAAGTCCCGCAGCTTCATTTCCTTCTGTTACCCTGAGTATCGCGGATTTCCGCTTCAACTTTCAGCTTTCACGTACGATTGAAAAGGGCTTGCAAGCCCCAAACCTTAAACCCTAAACCGAAACAGGTGCGGTTGCAAAAAGGCCCTCAAAAAAAAAAAAAAAAAAAAAACGAAACAGGTCTACGTCGAGTGCGTCCGGAACAGCGCACTCTTCGATCGCTGCTGTGTTCGGGCCTCTGCTTTGCACGGATCAAAACGAGCCCTGCGCATGCTCGATTTTTAGGGTTCAGGGTTTAGGGTTTTGCAGTGCGCATGAGTTCTGTAATAAGAATACAAACACGAATACTACAGATGCTAATTCTCAAAAGAGGGAGTTTGAGAATTGTGTGGAATCCTAAGGACTGCGTAGCGTTGGTAGCTTCTGTTTCTATATCAGTCAGCTGCTTGGCCGATCTTCGTCACGGCGATACTGCACACTGGCGTGTTTGTATGAGCTCATGGGGCTAGTCGTTTCGTGTGCTTAAGCATACGCCACTTGGCAAGAATACATCCACAAAAGACGAAATCACTTGAGATCCTGAAACCTTTGGAGGCTTCCAAACGTCTACCCTTCTAAGAGTCGGATTTGGAAGTTTCCGAAAATAGGGGACCCTAATATAGCACCCTAAATAGTAGGATCCTGATTATAAGGACCCTAAAATAAGGTACCCCTAATGTTCGGAAACTCCCATTTAGGTCAGGCATGTGCAAAGGCCGGAGAAGAATGCCTCGGTTGGTGTGCTTCCACGTCTTCGGCAGTACCTGCTTCAGAGAAATCTCTGCTTTACTTACAGCCCTTTCCTGAACCGTGTTGCTTAGGAGTTGGAAAGGGTGTGGGGGAGATGGGCTTATTTCGAAGCTTTGATGGGGCAGGAGTTGGAAAGGGTGTGGGGGAGATGGGCTTATTTCGAGGCTTTGATTGCCTGATATGTATGTATGTGAATTATATATACATATATATATATATATGCATATAAATATATATATGCATATATATATATGTATATACATACGAAGTTTTACCTTCCCGCCGGTGGCTTGCGAAGACACCGGCCGCTGTCCGGCTGAACAGGCGTTTTGAAAGCTCAACTCCAATTTAGCGTTTCGGCTGTATGGCTTCCATGCTCTCGTAAACCTCAAGCCCTAAACTCTAAGCGGCAGAGGGGTGCAGAAGATGTTCCGTAACTTTTTGGGGCTGTCATTTCGGTTTATGCCGGAGCACCCATAGGGTTAAGAGCTTGGGGTTTAGGGTCGAAGTGGCCATTGCAATGTTGGGCTTGCCTAGGTGTGCTGGAAAAGCTTCAGTGCGGGTCAGCTCCGCTTGGGCGTCTTGGCTTCTAAGAAAGGTCTGACAGGAACGGGACGTGTTGGCTATGCTATAGAAAATACAAGTATTATTCCAGAGGTTTGATAGAAATGATTATACAAAAACGCCCCTCAAGACCCTATTCATAATTATTAAGGCCCCTATGTAAGCTGGATGCTATGTTGGCTGGCTGCAGAGAGCAGCAGCCTGCTATCATGCTCTACTGTTGGGGAACTGCAGCCGAGCCAATGGGTCTTCGAACCTCCAAGTCTTCCGGGGGTTTAGGGTTTAGGGTTTGGGGTTTAGGGTTTGGGGTTCAGGGTTTAGGATTTGGGGTTTAGGGTTTATAGATTTGGGCGTCGGGAACTTGATGATGAACAGCCTTCCTGTCTGCACAGGCTATGTGCCGACGGTCTCGTTGTCCGAGGCCGACGTGTGACTGCAGTTCTGCACGTTTTGAAGCAAGGCAAAAGTCGGGTTCCCGAGCAAACCTAGCACCTGAAGCCGCTGCAGCCCTGGGGCAGGGCGTTGGGTTTTTGGGTTTCAGGCCACACGACGAAAAAAAAAACTCGATTTGCAGGAGCCGCGTTGGGTGCATGCCCCACGGTGCCTCACGGGGGATGGCCTCCGGGTGGAGCCACGCAGTGCCTCGATGCGTAGAGATTGAGGAAACCAGTAAACGGACAGCTTCAGGAGTGGAGAACACCAGGGTTCGGCATATTTCGATATGCAGGGTGACGGCTTTGATTTTTCAATCGACACGGAGAACGCACATGATGCGGTTCTCTCTTCAAAGTCGCGGCTTCGTCTCATCGTTGCTGCCTGCAGCTGAGGCAACTTCGCTGCCTTCGCCCCTTCGGTGCCACTGGAAGAGCAGCAGCGCATTCTGACAGCGCCCTACCAACCAAGAGGAGTCAAGATGCTCGCTTTCTCTCTCTCTCTCTCCCCCTCTCTCCCTCCCTCCCTCCCTCCCTCCCTCCCTCCCTCGCTCGCTCGCTCTCTCTCTCTCTCTCTCTCTCTCTCTCTTTCTCTCTCTCTCTCTCTCTCTCTCTCTCTCTCTCTCTCTCTCTCTCTCTCTCTCTCTCTCTCTCTCTCTCTCTCTCTCTCTCTCTCTCTCTCTCTCTCTCTCTCTCTCTCTCTCTCTCTCTCTCTCTCTCTCTCTCTCTCTCTCTCTCTCTCTCTCTCTCTCTTGCTGCGGTTTCAAGCAGTTCCTGAACTGGGAACTCGGGTTTGGGTAGAGGACCGTGGTAGCAACAGCTGAGATACTAAGACTTCCGAAAGGGACCAAAACATCAATGTGCGGATGTTGTCGCTGACAAATTTTGGGAAGTGGGCATCTGAGCTACTGAGTTCGGACAGAACATGTGATCTTCAAAACAATCCTGAAGCCCTGGACACGACAAAGAGTCGCGGATTTGTCAGGTCTCACTCAGCCCCGAAAGGCAGCTTTGCTTGAACAAGCCTGAGGTGCTAAGCTTGCTCCGTCCCTCGCTCCCTGCCCGGGATGCCGAGCATCCTGTCTTGCCACTTGGGCTTTGCGGATGTGCGAGCAACATGAATGGGTTCAGGAAAGGGTTGAACTTGAAGACTCTAGGACCTGGGAACTAGGCTTCTGGATGTCGGACGAGCAATTGATTCGGGTTCAGTGTGAATGCTTCACCTTGTACATCAGTGATGCTCGCTTCCTCATGGCATTTCTGCCTCGGAGCTGGGAGATACGGCGGCTTTCGATTGGGATGTCGGGCTGAAAGTTTGGAGTTTGATGTTCCAACGGGAAAGATGTATGAGGTGCCGAAACTCTGCATTATGGACTTCTGGACTTCAATGCTCTGCGTTATGGACTTCTGGACTTCAATGTTCCGAAACTGTATGTATCCAGTCGAGTGCCTTGCTGAACTCTCCAAAACGTCAAGCCTTATAGCATGCGGTCACAGCACGGATCAACAGCCCAAAAAAAGCATCAAACCAATTCAGGTCCTTGCATAATCCCTGTACGATACCTGACAGCCATGTTACTACTGGTGATGGTATAAATCCTGCATAACGCATTATAAAGAATTGAATATGCCACAATATTCATAGTCTAGAGTCATTAAGTTAAAATTCTCACACCGTATGACTCGCAAAAAGGCTAGTAATGCAGAAGCCTGAACAAACACCGAAACACCCCAAAAGCCGTATTCTGAGTATCAAGGCCCCTGTATTACCAAATGGGTAGTTGTCAAAATTATGGTCTCTTGTTGGGTCCCTATTGTAGAACGGCACCGAATATTTAGGGTACCCAAAACGGGACCACAATTTTGGTAACCACCCAAACAAGGCGCCCCCGTCTCTGGCGCTGGGGAGCGGCGATGTCGCAACGCTGGCTTCGCTATGCCGTCATTTTCTCAGCACTGTGGGAGATCTATTCAGGTTTAGTTTTGGGGTCTAAGGGTTTGGGGCTGTAGGGGTTTGGGGGCGTCGGAAGAACTAGTTAGAGCATTCCCTTACTCTGTCAACGAGCACAAAAACAGATTTATGGCGCCTGGGGTTGAAGTGGAGGCGGGATGCAATCTGCACGCCTTTGCCTTTCGATTATTCCGATTCAGAGTTCAGAACTTTGGGTTTTTTTGTGGCTCCAGTGTCAAGTTTTCCAAACCCGTGAACCCCAGACTCTACCATTACCCCCCGACCCCAAAACACCGACCTTTGGAACGAAATACAGAAGGGAGTCATAGCAAGAGGCCCTAAGCATGTAGGCTTCTTTTTGGCGTGAAGCCAATGTTTGGGCGGTTGAGGAGGATTCATGATTACGGCTCGAGATTCGTGTCAATTTTTCGTTTACACCTTACAACCATAATCAAAATCTCACCCAGCTGTCAGGTTTTATTTAAAGCTTACAAGCCTAAATCCCTAAACCCTCCAGCACATGATCTCCAACATGAAAGGTATTGTGGGTTAGTATGTGCCTGTCTCAAGAAGGTACGTACTGGTTTGCATGCCGCCCGACAAAACACAGCCCCGTTGCATTCGGGAGGGTTTGCGTGGGTTAATCCGAAACCAGAGTCTTGATCATGTCACTCACGCTTGAGGTAAGCCTCATGAGTGGCAAGACTGTGTCACTGCAAGCACAGGAGTCCAGGAGGACGAAGCCGTAGAATCGCTGCGACTGCGCGCACAGAAGGCCCTGAGAGCTGGCAAAGGTCGACTCGTGGACTCCAACGGAAGCGTTCTTGATGGTGCAGCAGATTAAAGTAACTGCTTTAGCTTTTGCTGCGATCCTGATTCAGGATCGCAGCAAAAGCTAAAGCAGTTACTTTCTGAAGGACGGTTCCGTCGTGACTTGGGGCGGTGATCGCTATGGTGGTGACAGCAGTGCAGTGCAGTGCAGGATCAGCTGAAGAATGTGCAGCAGATTCAGGCAACATCGCTGGCCTTTGCTGCGATCCTTGCTGACGGCTCCGTCGTGACCTGGGCGATGCTGAGTGTGGTGGTGACAGCAGTGCCGTGCGATATCAGCTGAAGATCAGCAGATTCAAGCAACTCGTAGTGCCTTTGCTGCGATCGTGGGAGACGGCTCGGCCGTGACCCGGGGCCATGCAGGCGTGGGTGGTGACAGTAGGGCCGTGCGAGATCAGCTGAAGAATGTGCTGTGCAGCAGATTAAAGTAACTGCTTTAGCTTTTGCTGCGATCCTGATTCAGGATCGCAGCAAAAGCTAAAGCAGTTACTTTCTGAAGGACGGTTCCGTCGTGACTTGGGGCGGTGATCGCTATGGTGGTGACACCAGTGCAGTGCAGCAGATTCAGGCAAAAACATCGCTGGCCTTTGCTGCGATCCTTGCTGACGGCTCCGTCGTGACCTGGGCGATGCTGAGTGTGGTGGTGACAGCAGTGCCGTGCGATATCAGCTGAAGATCAGCAGATTCAAGCAACTCGTAGTGCCTTTGCTGCGATCGTGGGAGACGGCTCGGTCGTGACCTGGGGCCATGCAGGCGTGGGTGGTGACAGTAGGGCCGTGCGAGATCAGCTGAAGAATGTGCAGCAGATTAAAGTAACTGCTCTAGCTTTTGCTGCGATCCTGATTCAGGATCGCAGCAAAAGCTAAAGCAGTTACTTTCTGAAGGACGGTTCCGTCGTGACTTGGGGCGGTGATCGCTATGGTGGTGACAGCAGTGCAGTGCAGGATCAGCTGAAGAATGTGCAGCAGATTCAAGCAACTTCTTCGGCCTTCGCTGCTATCCTCGCTGATGGCTCCATCGTGACCTGGGGCGATTCTCGCTGCGGTGGTGACAGCAGTGCGTGCAAGATCAGCTGAGAAATGTGCAGCAGATTCAAGCAACCGAACACTCCTTTGCTGCGATCTTTGACAGCAGTGAAGTGCAGGATCAGATGAAGTATATACGACATCCACGAGCAGTAAGAAAAGCTGTTCGTTTAAACGGTAGGGTGTAGAATGTAGGGTAAACCCCAGACCCTGAACTCTATTCTACTTCCACCCAAGCCTTGAAGTATCAATAGAAGAGCTTCCAGCTGTCATACCTATTGTCTGGTCTGGAGCGTGGGTAGGACAGAATAACCCCAACAATGATTTGTTCTAAGTGTTGTCACTATTAAGGGGTCGGATTAATTACTACTCATATCTCCCTGCAGTCGGCGTATAGTTATACTATAGTGCACCCCAAGGGATCTGATTTATCAGTGCTCCACATTGGTACTATTGAGATGGCCGGAACCACATGACAAAATGTGAACCGGACTTATATGGCTTCGCAGTCGTATAATTGGGAAAGTATGCATGACTAGCTGCCGTTGTTTGATTCTGCTTGGCCAGAATCTCTACCATAATCAAAATCGCCTTCGCGACAAGAACATTCACCCGCCGCAATATCATCACCCACTTCTCAGCAACCCCCACAATCACCAACGGCTGCATCATCACCACCATGGTCATCACGGAAACGCCATCGCGTGGTGACAGTAAAACCCAGAGACTCCAATATCCCTTAACTAACGACTATTCCTTAAATCATAAGAGGAATCCTACTATAATTTAAGGAATATTCCTTCATTAAAAGATATTAAAACCCTAAACCCTGAATATTGGAGTCTCTGGAAACTTGCTTGCAAGGTGCCGGCTCCCGGTGCACCCCGCGTGCTGGTGCAGCCCGAAAGGCGCTACACGGCTCCAAATCCGCGCCTTCGCGTAATATAGGGACCTTAATAATTAGAGTAGGGCTCCTTTAGAGGGGTCTATCAGGGCTACTACGAGGACTATCATAAGGATTTACTATAGGGGCCTCAGCGGCCTCAGTACTTGCCAATGCTATGTTGGGGGCTCTGTATTACAACTATAGTAAAATATACCCCAAAACCTCCTTTCTAATTAATAAGGCTCCTACAGTGCATCAGAGATCGATAAGACACATGCCTTGGAATCAATGGTAGGTTGCTTGGAAACGATTGTCGCTTCGAACTCTGCAGGAGTTTGGTACCCACAGCAGAAGACTGAAATACGGTTGATGGTATAAATCCTGCATTACCCATAATAAGGAATATGCCATAATTCCCATAGTTTGGGGTCCTTAAGGTAATGCAGGATTTATATCATCAACAGTAGCATTCCAGTCCGATCTAAGGGTCATTCATTAACACAGCTGTGGAATCTGGACGGTCACGATGTCGTTGTCGTGCAGCTTGTTGTGATCATTACGGGTACTGCTGTTCTCGCAAGTATGTCATTGAATATACTGATGCCAGCACTACTATTACGCAGCAGCAACCGCAGCAACGGTAGCAGTAGCAGTAGTAAGAGTAGTGCTAATTAGGAGAAACAGCAGCAGAAGAAGCAGTAGCCGTAGCCGTAGGCGTGGCAATAGCAGTAGCACGTAGCAGCAGGAGGAGGCGGAGGAGCAGCCAGCCCTGTGAAATTATTGTTTTCAGCAGTCGTTGTCAACATCATTGATGATGTTCTTGCCGCGTCACTCCTCCGAGGAGTTCTTTGTCTCGGCTCGCCCGCACGCTATTGGTACAGGGCCTGCGTCGGCGTCCATCTGAGGAGGCTCGTCAAGTGGCTTCAAGTCCCTATAGAGCCCTGGTTTTATTGAAGCAAGCTTCCTAGTTCAAGACCTTCTTTTGTGAACTGGTCGACATTTTGCTTTGTCGACCAACCGGACATGCCCGGCCGCAACACGCCCTGAATAACCGAGAGTCAGTTCCATCTCCGTTTCATCCGGCATGGAATACTTGGTGTATCAACGGAAAGCACTACGTCATCAGTTCTGAACGACACAGTGCAGTGTAGGAAGACCGTAGACTGTGCCATGACAACGACACAAACTGTAGAACAGATATGTCTGCAGAGACCGTAGACTGTGCCGTGACAACGACACAAACTGTAGAGCAGATATGTCTGCAGTCGTGATCAAGCCTATCTGTTTTGGCAGGCAAAGACCTCATTTGCGCCGTGCAGTGGGCCAGGTGTTGACCAAAACACCGGATGATTTTTCCGAACAGGCACTGCAATTACAATATGTCGACAGGCCCGAAATTTTGGTTTCTGTAATACGTCGGGTAGACTTTGTCAACGAAACTGAATTGAAAGCTTTGCCTTCACTACCAAAGTTGGCTCGGCAGATTTTTGCTGAATGAGCCACCCGAACCGCAATCTCCAGAACCAAAACGCCCCGCCGCAGCACGCACTCCTCGACGAATCGACATCTCGACCGTGAATCCGAAGCTGCACTTGAAGACCACGAATGCAAAACACTCAGACCCTGAACGGCTTACTGACCTCACAACCTGTGGGGCTTTCTGCAGGGCCCACCAGTCCAAGAAGTGTCAACCGAACTTCTGGTTGTACCGCGTCGACCGAGTTTCATGCAAAGTTCGGACGCTTCGGTTCGGATTTCGAAGCTGAGACACACGACTCGCTCCTAATTTTCCCGTGCACTTACCGGGGATGCTGGCCTTCGCACCCACAACCCCTTCACTGCTGAATCCCTGCAACGAGGGTGTCTTCGAAACGGAAGAACCACAACAGAATGAAGCGCCATTGCGTTTGAGGTCATTACGGATCTACCAAAGCTTGCAGCAATGACTCCCAGCCAGCGGGAGGACACTAGAGAATTGCTTTCCCGTGCTTGCCGGTGCTTGAAAAATGCAGCCCAACAATGACTCGACGATTTGCTGTGGCGAGAGACGAAGTCCACAAGTGTCGTTTCTAATGATGTGTTTGTCGGCTTGTGTTACTGCGAGGAACGCATTCAAGGTCAACCATATCACAAACCATAGCTTGTTGTGAGAGGCTTGAGTTCTTGTAAGGAGGAAGCGGATGGACCGCACGCCACATCCTCTTCGAACAAGACAGAGCAGACTCTTATTCTGGAGATAAAGGCAATTATTCAGGGCAGGGTTCGCACAATCTGCAACAGTCTTTTTTCTACGTCCTAGGTGTCGGCACAGGAAAGCTGAACCTGCTGCCACAGGTCGTTGCACGCGCAACCCGTCGCATCCAGAGGCCAGGTGAGAGGAGCGGGGATCAGTGGTATACCTTCCTTAACCCCAAGTAACCTACCTTTTTAAGGACTTATATAAAGAAATAATATTAGAGAACCCTAAAAAGGTAGGTTCCTTAGGGTCCAGGTTAATCTTAAGTCCTAAAACCCCGAAAACCCCCAACACTCCCTCATAACCCAAAAACCCCGAAAACCCTTCAATCTCCTGTAACCCCTCACGAGTCGGTCTTCCCTAAGGCTTCACAATAATGTTCCGCTTCAGGGCTTTGGGGGTCGGGTTTTGAGTTTCAGGGTTCAGGGCTTAGCGGGTTTTGGGCTTAATATAACGGCCTGAACAATTCATAATATAGTTGCTTAGGGCTCCGTACTGGGATTGTAGTCATAGTATGGCAGGGGTATTGCTACTGGTGTCCCCTTACAGTGCTTCGGTTCCCGCAGTGTGATATGCGCCCAAACCTATGAAGGCCCCCAAGTTTAGTAACCTAAAGATACAACTGTCCGTCAGGTCCAGTGCCCCACGGCGAGAGCCCACTGCCACATCACAGCGTCCCCGGACAGAGGCTAAGCGTGTGGAGGTTGAGTTCTTGCCCTTGGCATTCGTACAGCCGACTAGCCTTCCCGACCGCCTTGACGTTTCTACAGGTGTTCCAAAACGTTTCTTTCTACCGGTGTAGCGGAAGCTAAACGTATACCGACACCCACGAGTGCAGACCCGGTATTCCCTCCGGCATTCTCGGTCCCGGAGCTTTCTAAATGCACACATCACAGCAATTTTGGGGGTCAGGGCCCTGCTTGCTGACCTGATGATCCGTTGAACGTGGACACTTTCTGTTCTTTCTTTCTTGCGATGTGAGGGGTTTCCGAGGGTGTGTTCAAGGACGTGCATGTGGTGGCAAGTCGATGGTGGGCAGGAGTACCCAAAATCAGATTAATGCTGTCAGAAAGGGGTCACACTGCCTTCAAGCCTTTCCAGGTATTACGCATGATTGTACGAAGATAACTCCACATTCGACAACTTTGAAGATCAAAACCAACATCTTTGGATGCAAGGCTCGGCCTTTCACGGCCGCGTTTGCCAGAACCGTTTGCATGGCAAAGTGGTAGGAATCATTACCAATAGCAATAACACTGATAATAGTTATGATACTAAAATCCTTTCAGTGCCTATAGCATAGCTGTGTAAGATGCACCAGGACCAGGACCTTATTCTACACATTCATGCCCCCTATGTTGGTGAATCTTTGCTCGGTGCCGCGCAGCGCCGCAGGCACCGGCGGAAGATGAAGCCAACAGCCGTGGGCCAGGGCCTTGTCAATGGACGGAGTCTTCAGAGACTCCAATATCCCTTAATTAAGGAATATACCTTAAATTATATTAAGGATCCTACCATAGTTTAAGGTGTATTCCCTAATTAAGGGATATTGGAGTCTCTGGATTTGCCTGTAGCCGAAAAGATCTACCTTTGTGGGGGTTCCTTATTGGGGTTTCTATATATAGTTCCTTAAAAGGGTAGGTCTTTCGGGCCACAGCTAGGGTTTAGGGTCATGAGTAGTTAAAGTCTGAAATTGCGCGGCTGCTTTTGGGTTTCTTTGGGCTTGGGTTCGGAGGCTTCGTGCGGCCTTAGCTTCGGGCTGAACCAGTGGTTAGAGGGAGGCTGCTCGGGTTCAAGACGAGGGACTTCATTCGGGAAAGCCTTCAGGTTTGAAGAGTTACAGGTCCTTAACGCATGGATGGTCCATAACGCATGGATCCTCAGGCACTGATTTCCCCTAAGCTTCTATCCTGGAGCTAGAAGTTTCCAACGCACTGTGTGAGGTGGCCAACCTAAGTCCCCGAAGCCTTCAGCGCGGGCTTAGGCGACGGCAGTGGCGGCGGCGATCTGCTTTGGGTGAAAGGGCGGAGGCGACTTTACGGCTTGACGGTTCCAATTCATGGTCTCAAACTTCTCTTCGAGGAGCCCCAATCTATTGTCTTCATAGAGGGACTGGCATGAAGAAGGTCCCTGAATTTAAACCCGAAAACAAAACGCTCGAGTCCAAGATGTGAAGGGCTCAGCTCGTTTGTTCAACGGGCTAGGATGGAGCGAAGAAATCTACACCCAGGTGTCCTGGCTCGGGGTATCGGACGCTAGCAGTAGCAGTTAAATAAACGAGGCAAGGAAATCGAAGTCCTCCCCGTGCGGTCGCCCCTTCGGCGAGGAATGGCCAGGAATCATTGTAAAGCACCACCTGCGCCCTCCAAAAAACTCTAAACCCTTCAACCCAAGTCCCATGCAGATCTCAGAATACTTCGCAATAGTATCCTCTCATTGTATAGTATACCCGTTTCTCACCCGTTTCTCACTGTTACGGGCCCGATACCGTACAAAATACTATAGGGGCCTTCATAATTTCCTATACTCTTTTGGGAATTCCTTATTATGATGATCGTATAATGGGCACCAAAGCCTTGTTCTAATTTTAAGGCCCCTTTTTGAAGCCCCTGGCCAGGAGTTCTTTGCCATTGCTCCTGTGCTGACCCTGGAGAAGGCAGGGCTGACGATTCGAAGCGGTTTAGGGTTTAGGGGTTTAGGGTTTATGGTTTTAGGCTTTAGGGGTTTAGGTGTTTAGGGTTTAGGGGTTCAGGGGGTAGGGGTTTAGGGGTTTAGGGGTTTAGCGGTTTAGGGGTTTAGGGGTTTAGGGTTTAGGGGGGTTGGCGATGAAACTCAGGGGGCATCTTCTTCAAGGCTCTTGTAGAATCCAGGGCTGCCTACATCGTGGATTATGCAGGGGTCTAACCTGAAACTCCCATCTCTATTACAGAGACCCTAGACCCCTAAACCCCTAAACCCCTAAACCCCTAAACCCCTAGACCCCCAAACCCTATAGATCCCCTTTAAAAGGACCCTTATAGATCCCTTTAGAAGGAACCCCTATAGATCCCTTTAAAGGGAACCCTAACCCCTAAAACCCCAAGAGCCGAACAGCTACAGCCCCGTAGAACTGAGACCCTGGCCCTCGAAGTCTCTGAAGATCAGGCCACATGTGCATAAGCAGACCCTAAACCCTACTTAGCGGATCATGGGACTTAGTAAGAAACCCTAGGGTTCCTTTAAAGGGGCTCCTTTAAGGGATCTATTAAGGGTTCTATGAGGGGGAGTTTAGGTATACTTAGAGGATCATGGGACTTAGTAAGTAGGTTATAACTGGGGTTATAAGTCCCCTAAGTAGGGTTATCCTAATTATAACCTACTTGTAACCCTACTTACTAAGTCCCATGAGCCTTTAAGTACCCCACACCCTAAACCCTAAACCGGACAAGGTCAGGGAAAAATGCTGCGGCGAAGACACGTTCACAACAATCATGCATATATCTAGAGGCAGACACCCCGTCGCAAAACCCTAAACTCTACAACCCTAAACCCTAAAGTCTATTGTCAGCTTGAGATGGCTCTGACTCAGAGTTGAGCGCAAAGCTCTTCCACACTTCTTTCAAACTGAGATTCGGAGACTTGTTCGGTGGGACGACAGCGGGTCCCAAACCCAAAGCCCTAAACCCAAAGCCCTAAACCCAAAGCCCTAAACCCTAAACCCAAAGCCCTAAACCCTAAACCCAAAGCTCTAAACCCAAAGCCCTAAACCCTAAACCCAAAGCCCTAAACCCTAAACCTGCCCAGGATGTCACAGAGGAGGAGCCCTGCGTGATCTGCCACGAGCAACTCATGGCAGGCCGGGCCACCCCTTCACAGCTGGGTTTTGGGTCTAGGGGTTTAGGGCTCAGGGGTTAAGGGTTTAGGGTTTAAGGGTTTTAGGTTTAAGGGTTTTGATTTTGCGTTTAGGGTTTAGGACTGAGTCAAAGTTGAGAGTTTTTCCGGAAGGGACCAAGTGAGCCGGATGTTTAGAGGCTTGAGCTGCAGGGCCTCGACTCGAGGTGTTGCACTGCGGACTGCGCGCCTGTTTCGGAATGGTGCGCTACAGCTCCGGCACAGACTGTGCTATTGCAACGGTTTTACATCAGACTCACCCACCTCAAAACGCCACGCAGCCCCGCCACATTGTAGAAAACAGCCCCTGCAGGCGACGACGTGCGGCGCTTGCTCCTGGGCATTGTTTACTTAAAGGACCATGGGACTTAGTAAGTAGGCTATAAATGGGTTGATAACTCCTTAAGTATAACCTACTTAAAACTTATAACCTTTCTTACTAAGCCCCATGAGCTGCTAAGTAGGTCCGGGTGCAAGGGTCCTAAACCCTAAACCCTAAGCCCCAGTAACCTACTTTTTCAAGGACTTATATAAAGAACTCATATTAGGGAACCCTAAAAAGGCGGGTTCCTTAGCGTCCAGGTAAACCCTAAGCCCGTGTCTCTCTCCTTGAGATGCAGGTGGAATCCTCTGAGCAGTAACCCAAAAGCCCCGGAACCGATAAAACCGGGCCGAAAGATTTGAAGGCAGCGAGGCTTAGGGTTCAGGGTTTAGGGGTTCAGGGTTTAGGGTTTAGGGTTCAGGGTGTAGGGGCTTAGGGGTCTAGGGGTTTAGGGGCAGCCGGTCGGTATGGAGCGTGTATGTTGGCGTCGCAGAGTCGCATCAGAGTACGGTGGATGTGCCATGCGCCGATCGACCCTTCACTGTAGAGGCTCCAACAGCCCTGTTTAAAAGAAAGGTTTGGGGTTTAGGGTTTGGGGCGTAGGGTTTAGGGTTTAGGGGGATAGGGTTTCGGGTTTAGGGTTTTGAGGTAGTTGCCTGGTCTTACCAAGGCCATGTTGCCACATGTTCCACCGCTCCTGCATCGACCGATGGATGCACACGAAGGTCGCTCGCTGATGCAGGGGCGTGCATACCCAGACCTCCGAGAGGATCCAAAAAGTAGATCCCTTGATGGGGTTCCTATAAAGCACCCTTAGTAGTATAGGGCGCCAAATTAGGGGATCTACTTTCTAGATCCTCCCGGGGTCTGGGTAGTTAGGCATACTGCTCCGTCGGGTTCCCCACACCGAGTAGCAAAGAACAAAAACCTTAAAACCACCAACCGCCCAAACCCCAAGATCCCTCAACCTGAAACTCGTATATTTGCTGGCGATTCCGACCCTTCCGTAGCCGGTCCTTGACGCACAGCAAACCCGAAATTTCAGGGCATCATGTGCCAAAACCCAGTGAGGGTTTAGGGTTTTAGAGTTCAGAGGGTTTAGGGGCCTGAAGTATACAGATACTTCTCTTCTGAAGCATGTCCTTGGATTGCAGGGCCTTGGGTTCACTGCTAATGTAGGGATCTTAACAATTAGAATAGGGTTTCCAAAAGCCTGAACCACTAAGCCCTTTGAACCAAAAACCCTTTGATGTCTGGCGGCAAACCCTACAACCCAAAACTGAACTCAGAGAGCCCACCCAATACCCCTTAGTCAGGGTATATCGCCTAAATCATCATATGAAGCCCCCTGTAATTTACAATTTGGGGGTATCGGGCTCTCTGGGAAGACGAGGCAGTCTGCCCTCTGGACAAACTCACGGCGGCAGAGTTGATCGCCGCTGCCCTCGGCGCCCCGCGGCCGACTGCTCTTCTGGGGCTTCGTGCATGTACCTAAACCCGGAAAACATAGGGTCGGGTTTGTTCAAAATGTTGTTATGGTACCCCGTGATAGTCCCAAAGATACTTTCGGTTTTCATGCACCTGCTTTGTCATCAGGTTGCGAGAAAAAGGTTGTGGGGCGGAGGTGCAAGAAGGGTAGGAAGAAGAGGGTTCTGGGTCTCTTACCCTCCTATTTCTGGAAACTTTCCAACAATTTAGGAGTTACTGAAAGTTTTGGTTCGTTAGGGCCTGGGGTCTTGGGTTTAAGTGATTGTCTGGGTTTAGGGTTTAGGGTTCCCAAATCCTGAGTCCTAAACCAAAACCCCACTAAATCCTTTCTTGGTTTCGAGCATCCCAGGAGCGGAGCAGCACGTCATCGACAGGCTGCAGAGATCCACTTCCTCTGTTCCCAGAGACTCCAATATCCCGTAATTTAGGAATATACCTTGAAATATAGTAGGATCCCTAGTATGAAAAAAGGAATATTCCTTAATTAAGGGATATTGGAGTCTCTGTGTTCGTGTTTCAGGGACTGCACAGGGTTATCATCGCAAACCAAGCTCACAAAAAGGTGCTTTAATAATTAGAATGGGGGCTCCTTTAAAGGGTTCCTTAAAGGGATACTATAAGGGATCTATAGTGGGGTTATATAAGATAGGGGCCTTCATAATTAGAATTGGGTATTTGGACCCATTAGAATAAGGAACTCCCAATTTACAAAAATGCTTGGACCCGTATATTGTCCCTGGAAGTGTAGATACACCCAGTATGGGGTGGCAGGAAAGAACATCAAGCAGTTAGAGTTTTGAAGATTGAATTGGAAGCATAATGCCATGCCCACAAAATGCCGACAAAAGCTTACTTCGTGTGCATATGGACCCTTTTGAAGTTAACCTCAGGCAGCAGGACGACCGCGCCGGCCAGCTCTGCCGGCACTGCGCACTGATGCGAGCAGCGAGTCAAAACGAACGTTAACCTGGTGTTGCGGAGGCCATGCATGGACGAGGCACAATGCAAGGTTGCGTGAAGGAACCACCATCCGTGCGGAAGATCGGCGTGTGAACCAGTGTACAATCTTTGCAGTTCATCTGAGCAGCACCCGCACAGCAGCTAGCATAAATATGAGCACTGCTCAGCGTCTTAGTACACCAGCACGAAGAAAGGGCGGTAGCTTGTTCTCGATGACCGTCGATTGACAAAACTGCTGGTTCGATCTTCGTCAGCCATGCGACTACATGCACTTGAGATCTCGGGATGCGTGCTCACTCCCAATCGGCACGCCGTTTCGGGTTTAAGGGTTTAGGGTTTCGGATTTTCTAACTTTTCGGTCGGCAAAATCTTCATCAGTTTGCCCTAAACCCTAAACCCCTAAACCCTAAACCGTACCAGGACCCCACTGCCTTTTGTGTGGGCGTCGGCGGCTTCCAGGTGTCAGAAGCGGAGGACCTGGGTCTGATAATTAGGTAGCATTACTTAGGGGTGCTTAGAAATAATTTTTAATTTTCGGTTATTATAATCCCTAAGAAACAACCAAAATTATCATTTTTCCTAGGGCTCTAAGTTCAGTAAAGATTATGAGGGAGACCCCTTGAAGGGTACCCCTTCTGAACCCTACTTCTGGCTCCCCTAATCCTAACTCTCAATAATCCTGAAAGGGCAATCCCCAGAGACTCCAATATCCCTTAATTAAGGAATAGCTAGGGTTAGGGTTCCTTTAAGGGATCTATAGGGTATAGGGTTAAGGAGACTCCAATATCCCTTAATTAAGGGATACTCCTTGAATCATATTAGGGATCCTACTATAATTTAGGGTATACTCCTTAGTTAAGGGGTATTGGAGTCTCTGAGTCCATGGGCCAGAAAGATGAGAACAGGGTTTAGGAGTTTTAGGGTTGATGGTTTAGGAGTTTTAGGGTTGAGGGTTTAGGGCCCTGAAGGCTGGTCCGAGTTAGAGGCCATTTTGGGGTTATTGTCGAGAGTTTATATTTGCAAAAAGGGACCCGGGGCGGAAAGAGACCCGGATTTGTTTTTTCCTAGGTGCGGCTTGGCTCGGCATGGCTTGGCTTACCTTGGCTTAGCCCCGACCTTGATTCTATGGCTTTTGGGCCTGGCTAGGCTCGGCTTGGCTGGGTTGGTTCAGACATTACAGAGACAGAGACGCAGACACAGAGATGCAATTTGGCGGGTGCACTGAGCGTATGTCTACATCGAAAGAAGGCCAACAAAGGAAAAGCTGCACTGCCGAAAGCCCAGCATGTACATCTATGCAATGCTAAAGTACAGAACTATGTGTTTGTCTCTGTCTTTGTGACGTCTGAACCGAACCACCCGAGCCCAGCCACACCAGGCAAAGCCGAGCCAAGCCGCACCAAAGGCCAGCCCCATTCCGAGCCATGCCGGCCGAAGAGGATGCCAGGGCTGATATGAGGATGAGTCAAGCGCTCACGGACACATGCATCCTATGAGTCTACCTGTGGTCCCAAAAAACCTAGCTTTTTAAAGTCCCCTATTATGGCCTCTAGAAAGAATTCCCAAAACGGGTTGGGTTTTCTGGGCCGCACGTAGACTAGCTTGTGCACAAAACTAAATCACAGTCTCTGCTGGGCCATTCCATTCCTTGTTGGAGCGGAAGACACAGCACCTTGGTTAGCATATCCCCGAGCCCTATTCTGACTGATAAGGCCGCAGTTCAACTTGACCATTAGGGCTTCTGTCTAAAACCCTATAAACCGTTGTAGACCCTTCAAAAACCGTAAGGCCCGATTCGAATCATCAAGGCCACTGTGAAATCTGAAGCACCTTTCATAGAACCCCCCAAAGGGCCCATATGGGTAGTGGTCAAAATTGTGGTCCCTAAATAGTAGGTGCTGTATTATATTTAGGGTATCCAAAAAGGGGCCCTAATTAAAATTTTTGACAACCACCCATATGACATTGATCGGAGGATGGTGAGGTCCCGTGCTACGACGGGGTTCCAGCAGCGAAGACGTCTCGGTCTCAGGAGTTTGAGGCTTTCAGGGGTGTTAGGTTACCCAGACCCTCAAAAGGATCCAAAGAGTAGATCCCTTCATGAAGGCTCCAATAAAGTACCCTTAGTAGTATAGTGCCCCAAATTAGGGGATCTACTTTCTAGACCTTTCGGGGGTCTGGGTAGGTTAGGACTAAGGGTTTTCGGGTGTTAGGCAAAAGGGATCGCGCGGCTTTGGGGGAATGACTCAGGGCTTGCATTGTGTCACATTTCGGTTAGGGTTCGATACAAGAGGAATCATACACTCCGTCACCCTGCCCTACACTTTTGGGGCGCGACGGATCTGCGAGGTGGCCGGGCTTGTTTGGGCATTTGCTTCAGGATCCGATGCGGAAATCATCCGTCTTCTTGTGAAGGGCGTGGGTGACAATCTCGCCACCACTGCACACCTGCTGAAACCCTAAACCCCTAAACCCTGAAACCCACCATGCCTTCTGAACCGGTTTTACATAAAATGCTTGCAGGCGACAGACATGCTCCATCGTAGATGTAAAATGTCGGAGCCAAGGCTCCGAGAGCAGTGAAATGTGCAGGTCGCAGTTGTATTATAGGGGGTGGTTGTCAAAATCATGGTCCTTTTTTGGGGATCCTTAGCATAATACGGCACTTAATATTCAGGGTACCCAAAAGGGACCATAATTTTGACAACTACCCATATTTAGAATAGGGTTTGGGGCAAACTTACTGTTGTCTAGGATAGTAAACCTTATGGTACAGCAAACACTGTCACATACTAATCTCACATGGTAACATCCAGAAAAAGACCTTTGATGTGCAAGCAGCTCTGCAGTGGCACGCATATCATTTGTCATGTAGAAGCTTGCGCTGTTGCCAAAGCTATTCCTCAGCGTTCCTAGTATATGTGTAGAAATCCCTATACTTATTATAAAGGTCCCTGCGTTAACCACCTGCTGCAGCCTCTCGCTTGGGCCAAGGAGGGGCAAAGCACCACGGTGCACGGCCCCAGCTTGATCCGACACTGAAAACTGCCCTAAACCCGAAACCCTTACAGTTGAGCCGATCCCATACTGAACACTGCGCGTTGGGAGCCTATCGTGCAGGGTCCTTAGTTACGCAATAGAATGAGATGGATTTTTCGTGCGTGAGTTTAGACCTCTGAGGGGATGCAGACAAGTGAAGGCCTTGGAGTCTGAACGCAAAGAATTTTGAAGTACTGCGGGTGTTGTCATTTGATCAGAGGCGTGGCATTCAGGACGCTCCGCAGATCATTCGATCACAACTGATTTCAGTGTCTGGTGTCCGCCTGTGTCAGCAAGAGACCCGTGGTTGCAAAAGAGTTGGAAGCCCTCGAAGGTGTGCCACAGACAAGTCCAGGCAGCACTGTCCGGTTGCAGGAGCCGTCTGGATATCGTCAAGACTGCTCGGATTTCTTCACTGCAAAGACATGTGCCTTGCACCTCTCATCATGTTTAGTTGTTCAAGAAAGCCGGTGAGCCTCCTCCTGTCGCCTAGATGATACTACAATCATTGTCCGACCACGGCCACCACCACAACCACCACCCCTGGCACAGCAGCACCCTGAAGCCCCCACTCCAATTTTCTGAGGGCGCCTTGGTCGCGGCCGAAGCCGAAGGAAAGGTCTTACTTGAGGCTACCGGGTTGGGTTTCCCCACGAGTAGCACGGAAAGGCTTGTTTGCCAATGTTTCTGACTGGAGATTGGAAGGGCTTGAGATTCCGGGTCGAGGATTGTTTGGGATGCAGGACGCATGAGTGCAAGGCTTCGCACGAGTAGCACATGACTGTTCGGTGAGCTTGAGCTGTGTGATTCCGAATCATTGAACAACCTGTCAAGCACTATTTGGATAGACGGTCAGCCTTGGCTGCACTGTGAATGTGATTTCGAATAGGATACGGGCACAAAGGCAAACCTCCACGGCTCGGAGGCCCAAAGTCTTCTCTTTCGGCAAAGGCTCTTTGGTTCAAGTTTTCGTTGCCTCACTTTTGGAAACTGTGCACGACTGATCACTGTAAGTGTCGAGAGGATGATGTTTGAAGGACTCTCATCGATCTTGGCTGGGTTGCGAAGACACAAAAGCTTGAAAATCCCGGCAGCCCGTGCATTCTTCTATAGTGTTTGCCCTGCTTTAGCTCTGAGATCACAAGTCCTGCCTCAAGGCGCATCCAAGACGCTTGGTACCGAAGTGGAGTGCCCTACTTCCTCGAGGAGTGGTCAGCACTGCGACTCGAACCTGCGACCCGCAAGCCCATACAAAACCCAATAGAACCACGCCTCAGGCTCCAAGCCTCTTTAACCAAAATCCTGCAGTTCAGAGCACAATGCGTTGGACAAGACAGGGCGCAGCGAATCCCAATTGCAGAGGTCATTGTGCGGAGCATTCTGCGGGAAATGCCTTTCGCTTGTTGCAGCTGACTTGCCATGCCACTATCCTGTCGTCTAACATCTCGCGTCTGAAGCTTTAGGAGAATGCTCCCGGCTTCGTGATCGCTTTCGTCGTGGCGATCGTTGTTTGGACCCTGGGACAGCAAGCAGAGGGGAAGTTGAATGGGTTTTGAAGCACGAAGGCTGCCTAGCAAATGGAAATAAGGACTGTCTTCAGTCGGCTCGCCGAACAGAGAGCCCATTGTTTACAACGACATCATGCACTCAGTTTGGATCTGCTGTTGCTAACAAATCATTCGTGTTCCGCTTGTGGAACTGTCGGCCTTACTCGTAGACGAGACATCCCTGACTAGAACTTTGTGACAGTGATACCTCTCCTTCAACGTTAAAGTGTCGGACCCTACATCCTAAACCCGTAAGCCCTAAACCTGCAACCTAAACCCCTAATGCTTATAGCCCCAAACCCCTAAAACCTTAAACGAACCCTTAAACCCTACATACACCCTAAAACCCTTTACCCCTGAACCCAAAACCCTAAACGAACCCGAAACCCTA